ACAGACTCTTTTAAGCTTTTAACCTTAACCCTACGTCCACTGGCATGGAAGAAATCCACTCAATACCGCTCAAAATCTCAGTGTGTGTTTAAAATGTAGAGCAAGAGTGGTCTTCAATATGGTCTGTGATTGCTATGATCATATATATGAAGTGAAAGTGACGTGACATGTGGCCAAGTATGGTTAACCATACTAGGAATTAGTGCTCTGCGTTTAACCCATCCTAAGTGCACACACACAGCAGTGAACACACACACACCGTGAACACACACCTGGAGCAGTATATGGACAATTGCCAAAAGCCATTAGGCCACAAATACCTAAAGTATATATTCAGTGTCATTATAATCATTTTTTAACCCAGCTACAGTCTAGGCAAAGAGAAAGTGTGCTCTTGAGCTTAAATTGTGGATTGTGGGTCAGTGGATTTTAGGTTATGCTCAAGGAGTTAAACTGGGACAGAAAAATCCTAAACGCCATACTGGAACATTTGATTAAATAAAAAAACAAATAAAATAAAACAAATAATTTTTAAACTAACATTTTTATACAAAAAACAACAATAGTAATAGAAATAATGATGATTATTATTATTTCCACATGCTATGATAAATAATCATGAAGTAAACAACGAAATTAATAACTAAAACTGCAAAAAAAATGACAAATTTTTAATTAATTGCTACATTTTGAGATTACATTTAAATGTTATTAAATTAATTTAGCTTTTTAAATCATTATCTTTCAAAAACAGTGAGCATTATATGACAACCAAGATCGTTTAAAAGTAAAAATTGAGAAAGTGATCATGCACAATTAAAATATCCCATATTGACTAATACATCTATCCATCAGTTCTCCAAACAGCTTGTCCAAGGATGCTGGAGCCTATCCCAGCATCTTAGGCTGTAGGCATGGGAAAAAAACATGGACGGATGGCCAGTGCATTACAAAACCAACACACAGAGACATACACATACACATACACATTCACACTCACACCTACAAACAATTTACTGTCTCCAATTCATGCAGGACCTTGTCTTTGGATTGTGGGAGAACATGCAAGCTCCACACAGAATGGCCTCATGGTGTTCGATTGATTCCCATACATTAACAACCAATATCCAATACAGTACAGATATATTGTATTTCTAATTGAGATGATTCGGAATGCAAACAGATAGCTTTCTCACAGTATTACAGACCTCCTTGATCAGGACTAGGACTGCATTCATGGCCGGCCACTAAACAGGCCTCATATCAGCACAGCGAGAAACTTGTAAAACACAGTGTTGCAGAATGCGAGACATAATGATTACATCAGGTGAAGGCTGCCCTGCAGCACTCCAGCGTATGTGTTTGTATGCTAGTGTGTTTAGGCCTGTTTTTGCTGAATAAAAGCAGAACAAATTCAGGCTACTGCGGTAAGCTCACCATTCATCATCTTTCATCGACAAGGTGAGAGAACGGTGGAGAGAGAGAGAGTACAGCTCCATGAATAATGGAGAGAGTGTGGTGTGGTCCCAGGGCTCAGAGAATTACTTTCACTTTGCAGCATTTAATCAATGGCTTCAACATCTCGTTCTCTCTCGCTCACCATGTGGTCGGCGGCACATTGCGCAGAGTATTACCAGCCCCACAGATAAATCCCGGTGGGATATCTCCAAACTTTCCTTGTACCTTTCCCTCTAAACTCTTTCTTTTCCTCTGTTCCCTTGGACTCTTTGAAATTGCAATGGGAAATTGAAAAAGGCGCAGACTTAACAGCTTACAGTAATCCATTGCCCACTTACTTTCTGCAAAGATAACTGCGAAAGTTATGCCATTATGCTTCAAAATACAAGAACTCATTTCTTTTTTACAATTGTTGTAGGTTATTCTTGCTTTCCTGGGGTAAACAAATGTGACATTTAACTAATAGCCAACCGTTCTCAAGCTGTTTTTGTTACCTATTTGAGATGATGGCAAGAAGATTGAACAGACACAAAGCAAAATAGATGCCATTTCCCCACTGATGCCTCTAAGAAATGATAAATTCACTTCACAGTTAAGACAAAAACATCTCAATGACAACTGAATCTCTGGTGAAGACCTTATAAAAATACGTCAGCGCCCAGTAAAATGTTCCCGATTTGTTTGCAAGCTTTTCCACAGCACTAGTGAGTTCAGGAGTTTCAGAGCAGACAATCCAGCGCCTGAGGAAAGGGGCAGCTGGAGCACATCTTTGTTTTGGACGTCTGGCTGGAGATGGAAAAACTCTGTGCCCACTGGGTAAATTGACTTCCAGTCCAGCACTGAAAAGATTGGTATGGAGTGTAAATTGGTCATATACTGTACAGCATAGACAGGGTCACAAGTTCAAACTGAAGGGCATGTGCCCCCTCATGTTTCTGAGCAAAGTGGGTTTTTGAATGCAACTTCCTATAAATTATTTGTATCTTTGTTCAGACAGGCGGAATATATATATTTTTTTTTTGCATATCTAAATCAAATATTTATGGAAGCTTGTTTCTGCCACTGAGGTTTATCTCACAATTCTGTTTGTATCTCACAATTCTGACTTTTTTGTGAATGACAGAATTTCTGACAGAATTTGTGAGAAACAAAGTCAGAATTGTGAGATACAACACAGAATTCTGACTTGTTTTTCTCCATAACTGCAAGTTTATGTCTCACAGTCCTTTTCTCAGAATTGCAAGAAAAAAAGTCTGAATTATGAGGTTTTGAATGTTTTTTAAATGTTGTATCCTAAGCTCACCAAAGCTGCATTTGTTTGATTAAAAATACTGTAAAACAGTTACATTGTAAAGTTTTATCTTTCAAAACAACACTTTTCTATTTTTATGTAGTTTGATTTGATGCATGCTTGCTGATTTAATGTATTAATTTCTTAAAACAATAAATAAATAAATAAATACAATTCTTACTGACCTCAAACTTTTGAACAGTAGTGCATGTTTGGTTGTTGTTTTTTTAATTTAAAAAGTTCACACATTTAATGTTCTTATTGGTCTAAAGTCTAATTAAATTTTTTGTTCACATTGTGTCTTAGTCTGAGCTTAGTTAGTCATTCAGGTCATAACATGCAACATTTCAGATGTTATTTTCACTACTCTTTCCTCATGTTGTGAAATATGTGGCATTGACTATTAGGTGACTGAGTGAAAGTGTCAGTGACATTGGATACAGTTTATGCATGAATGCATAAAATGCCTCGCGTATGTGGGCTCATGCAACACAGCGAGATGTCATGAAGGACACGAGCAGAGGCAAATATTCCTGTTTTCCATTCTCTCTTTCCACACTGACAGCTACTCTCACTTGTTGTACTGTATGAAAAAGTCTCTTGGTATCGTGCAGGTGTTACATCACCACTATAGCAACCGATGTACTGTAGATACACCTGATGCAGCCTACACTGTCTGTACAAACAGATCCGATTGCATCACTTGCAACTAAACAGTCAGTACTAAAGAAAAGTACTTAAAAAAAAAAAAAAATTATATATA